ATATTATAATATATTATTTATCACTCGAGATAATATTTCAGTCTAGAAAAATGTTATCATTCTAACTAGGGCTGGGCACTATACCATAAATGCCACAATTATCATTGTACCATCCCATTAACAGCGGAAATAGTATGGTAAATTACCATATAGTAAGTCTAAATGGTAATATGACAATACCATTTAGACTTGTGGTACGGTATTGGTATTGGTATTAGAGGTCATTACCATTTTTACCATATGGTTACCAAATTTACCACTCATTCAAAACTTTTTCCTCTTTTTTATTTATTCTACAAAGTTTTCAATTGTTGCTAGTTCTCTTTTTTCTTTTTTTTTTTTGATGTGTGCATGTTTTGTATAATTATATATTTGTATGCTTCAAGATGATGAAGAACAGTATGGAGAAAATAAGCTTTTAATATAATTTTGAGCTTTTAAGATTGAATTTTGAATGACTTGAATTAAATGATAATAAAGAAAATAAATTTAAAAATGGTAATATGGTATGGTATTGGTAAAGCAAGTTTCATTACCATTAAAAACGATTGGCAGCCATTACCAAAAAATCATCAATTGGTATGAAAGTGATAACTCTTTTTTATTACCACTTAAAATGATTATCATCATTTCAGTGCGGTATAGTTACCATACCATATCATACCCAGCCCTAATTCTAACATCAAAAGTACATCATGATGTCCGAATTTTTTGCAATGGCAGCCGCGTAGGTTAATGTCTTTTATGCATGCATGCCAAATTTCCGAAGGAAAACAATGACTAGGAAAAATAAAAACAAACAATAGTAAGACACCATTCCACGTGCGTGGTGTAATGGTCATTTGTTTTTTTTGGGTAAACCATGATTTGCATCTTATGTCTTGGATTTAATACTTTTCTTACACACTAACATCTCTAACATACTAACACCTCTAACCATTGCCCTTCTTAAAAAAAAAAAAAAAAAAAAAAAAACAATAGTAAGACAAAACAACCTTCCTTGTTCGATCGTCAGCTTCAACCCCAAAGCACAGGCGAGTCTTTGGGCGCGGTCTTAATGGTCAAATTTTCAACGACACATCCCTTAATTCTTGCTTTAATTTTAATTTAATGGACCGACGGAAATAATTGCATTTTTTATTATATGATGTGGTTGTACAAATCTGATAACTATATTAAGATTTGATTAATTTGAAATTAAATTAGATTACATTTTATAAGGTAAATTTTTTTTAACATTTATTTTTTTTTAATAAAATTCAAATTCAAAAATTTATTCAAAAAAAATAAATTTGTTCTAGTTGAACTAACAGATTGTTAGTGTGATGGTGGTAGTATTAAAATACTACAGTTCTGTAGTCCATCCAACAGATCCAATCCAAATATATATCTTAAGATATATGTTATTTATAAAGATAATAATTGATACACATTTTGGTTCAACACATTACATGATACATTTAGTAAAAAATTATTATTTTTTAATTTAAAATTAAAAATAAATAAATTTAATGATACAATTATGTAAACAAAATATAAAAATCAATTGAATTAATTGTATTTATATTATATTTTTAATAATTAAATTAAAAATATGTCAAAAAATATATTGAACCAATAGTGTATTAATCATTTTCTTATTTATAATTTTATAATTAATTACAAAGTCTTCAACGATGGATTTTCGGCGATCTTATTAATTGCTTTATTATTGGGTTAATCATCATTATATTTTGTTTGTTAGGAAAAGTGTGTCGCCGCGCTAAGAATATCATAATCAAATGATAATGAAAGTGGCTCAATAGGAAATAAATTATGTATGTAAACTAAAGCTAAAGGAGACGGGAAATGATTATGGGGAGCACTGTGCTTCTTTCTGGGAGTAACCTTTTAAGAGTAATAATATCGAGATGGTTTTTTAATTATTTTTTTATATAATTTTTATATATTATTAAATAATTAAATATATGTAATATTATAAATTTTAATAAAATTAATAAAATTAATTATTAAATAAGAAAGTTGCATAAAAATATTGTATAAATAAATTATCTCTCATTTTTCAACTTTTTAAATGGTAATTAGAGCAAAGAAAGAAGCTCCCGTGTAATAAATTAAAGGGTATATATAGCTTTGGGACATTTAGAGTAAGTTGCATCATAATTTAATTGTATGTATCATATTCAAATGTATGTGTACATTTAAAAAACGAGAAAACTATTTTGATTATGTAGTTTTAATATGGATTGTTAAAAAAAATTCTCAACAAAAGAACTTGATTGAGATAGTACTCACTAATTTAAAATTTTTATTTAAAATAAAAAATAATAATTTGAATTTATACATTATCAAACAACTAACTCTCTATTAAAAAAAACTATACAAAAAAAAATCAATTTAATTAACAAAGAGAAATGATCCACTAATGAAAAGGTGAGATATTTAATTGGTAAGATGGGGCATCATATCAACTAAATTAATAAATGCCTTCTACTTGGGATTCTATATGTACCTAGGAAAGATAGCCAATTAAATTGTTAATTTATACTTTGTCACCAACTAAATAGGAGAAAGTTATTCCTTTGAGATTTTGATAAAAGTGACCAATTTCTAGTTACTTACATTCCACTGGCTAGAAGATGTTATATGGATGAGATAATTTAGTACATTATTGAGTAATCCTTGAGACTATAGTGAGATATTCTTACTATTGATTTGGGTTGTGTCAAATAACAAGAGGATGCCACAGCAAAAATTAATTTTTTTTTTTGACATTCAAAAGCATATTCTATTCTTATTTAGAGAAATTTCAAAATAAATTTTCTGAGTTTTTAATGAGACAGACAGTCTGCTTATGTTCACTTACCCTAATCATATATTTCCTCCTCGATTTCTCTACACCATATATATATATAACTTTGGACACATTAAAAGTTGCATTTGATATAAAGCAGTAATCATGAAAAGGAAGTAATGATAGCCTTTAATCCTTTATGCTATTCCAATGGAAAGGATATATGGAGGCCCGGTTAACTCCAGCTAATATATGCCCCCTAGAATTTGGTGAACCTAATGATCAAAAGAGGCCTCTTTTCTTAGAAAATGTACCTGCCAACAAAACATTATTCTCATCTTTAGCTTCGCTTCATGTTTTCTCAAACCATCTTATAGGTGACAGGTTTGTCGACCCATAGAAAGAGTGTGATTCTCTTACTTTACTCAATTGCAAAGTAAGAAAAAATATTTATGTAAAGACACATAAATTTGATGGTATCGACCTTTAAATTTAAGGGCAACGACCAACAGAAATTAAAGTGGGAGGGATTTTGGTTTGGACCTATCATTGTTTGTGATAGTGTCATTAGTGTGGAGTCTACGGATTTATAAGCAGCCCAAAGTTATGTTATACTGTTCAGTGAATGAAATTTTGGTGGGCTAATTGGGGAAGAAAGATTAAGTACTGACTACCAAAGTTGATGTAGAGAAATTCGGGCCGATAATTATAAAACGTCGTTGGGTTCCTATTTAGGCCCAACAATATGAAGTCTATTTTCGGCCTAAACGACAAGAAGTCTATAGTATTGCTGATTGGTTGGTTTGGGCTGGGCTTTACAGACAGCTCAAAGCTGAATTCACATGCCCCCAACTCAGTGTTTAAAAAATATTCTTTGAAAAAAAATTTTTTTGATGGTGTGTTTAAAAAATATGTTAAGTATAACAATTCTAACTGATATAATTAACTATATTAATTATAATCATTTATACTAGTTAGTATATAGCAAGGTATATTTGCTTTTGTGCTAAAAACATACCTTCCAGAACCAAACAAGGCTTAAGGATAACAAGTTCTAAGCTGAGGTTTCATTCGCAAATTTGTTTTAAAACATGCTCTGTTAGTTTATAATTGCACATTTATTATCCCAATCTTTGTTTAAATTTCAATGGATGTATGCGACCATATGCACATGTGGGATTTTTTTTTTCCCATTTTTATTTTATTTTATTTTTTGATAAAGAGGATGTGGGATTTAATGTGACTTAAATTACAATTTATTCTAAACACAGATTCAGTTTGCTTAGGTATCAAAGCCTGCATTGCATAACCTTGGCATGGTACTCCCCTGGGGGTAGGAGAAGGGTATAAAAGGATATCTACTATCTAGGATATTTAGTAAAATATTAGAAAAGGTAGTTGGATCGCCACACTTTAATCATCATTGAAGGACGAGTTCCGTGATATTGGAGTAATACTCTTTTATTAGTGATAATAAAATGTTGAGTTTACGCAAGATAAATCATCACAAAATAATAATATATCTTTTACTTTATGAAAAAATAGGGTATTTTTGTAAGTTGCCTTTTTAAATTTGATTAAAAAGTTAATTTAAAATTTTATATTTTAATTAATAGTTTTAAAAATTAATTATTGAATTAAAAATTTTATTTATATAAATTATACATGTTAATATTTTAGATTGATCTAA